ACTCCTGTTCAGTATGGGTAAGGGACAGGCTCATAAGAACGACTTGCTTGTACGTGATGTACTATGCCTCCCCAAGGTCGAGTAGGGGATCTCAGGAGAGGAAAACCGCTGTCGGCACTATGGGCCAAGCTGGACGGATCTGTTAGTCCGAACTGGTAGGGAATACACAACCCAAGTATACACAAATACAACTGGCGTTTCCAAACATATAAATAAATGTATATATTGATAACATAAGCATACAGGTGTACTCTGCCTGATGGGCAGGGACTGGTCAAAACATAATAGACAGTTGATGCAGAACTACTCTGTGCCTAGCCGCACAGACTCAAGTATTGGCACACCTCATGGCATCTTTCAACTTCTCTAGGAAAAAACCTGTACTTCGGCAAGCCTTAAGGACACACAAGCCTGTACTTCGGCAAGCCTTAAGGGCACAAGAAAATATACACAGGTTACTTGCACGCCTGAGGGGCGATCGGCTATTTAAGCCAACTCAACTCCAAGCAAATTAACTTACGCCACATGGCGTCGTAATGAAAAGGAAACTATCTACAACAGTAAGTCACTTACTGGCGTTTCCAAAATTACAAACACAAGATTAACCTCACGACTTGACACAACCTTGATCACGTCGTGAGGGCACTCTTCCCCCTTCAGACACTGCACAGGCCGAAACAGAATTTCACAAGCTCAATTCAACATAAACGAAACTGAATTTGGAAGCAGTGATGTTACCTTGCTGAAGCCACGGGGGAGAGAGAACGATGCATTCTTTCTGAGTAAGCAGGAAACCTCGCATTGCGTCCAGGAGGGGGGGCAAGGTCAGCTGACCTGACGTCAGCTAAGACTTTAAGTGGAAAGAAGGAGGAACGGCTCGCATCCTGGCGTTTCGAGGGGGGGACTCCAAGGAACTTCACGGAGAAGAACCGTTGCACGGTTCAATTGTTACATGAGGTGTGACAGCTAAAATAAGGGTGCCAGATAAACAGCCATTACTAGGCAACAGCTATGTAACCACACAACAATAACAGAGACATCACTAAGCAGTGTATGTATGCATGCAACAGTTGAGGTACTGTTGGAAGTGATGTTTTCTGTGTGGTCCATGCCAAGGCCACATAAGAGGATAATTTTGAGTTATGAGTTCAGTTCAAGCCAGTAGCTAGCAGCTGCAGGAAGTACCAGCTGAAGCCAGTAGTCAGAGTACGAGGTTGGTGTGAGATGGCCACCACCCCGTAAGGACATGAGCCCAGAAACAGAGGAACGTCCTCCGTTGGAAGCAATTACCAAGCAGCGTGACTGAGAATGCTAGTCTGTGTGTGATAATGATCTGTAAAATGTAGTCATGAGCTGTAAAATTGTCCAGTAAATCCAATTATCAATCCAAAACCTGCCTACACAGTACAGTGTTCAAAGTAGACCACAATTTACCCCCAGGAAGCATCCTGGTACTCATTTCTGTTAGAGGCTGAGTTGACCCCAGGGCCACACTGCAGCTGGAAGGATTAGGTCATTTAAAAAATCCACTGACCTCATCAGGAATGAAACCCACAACCTTCCAGCTTGTAGCCTAGTGCCTCAACCAAGAATGCTACCATGTTCTACATTGTAGGATAATAGACAAATACCTGGTGTTCCCTGCTAGAAGTACCCACATGAAATCTTGTGACAAATCTCTCCTTTAGTTGTCCGTCTTGTGTACTGGTCAGAGATTCTATTGAATTGTAGCATTGTTATGAACATTCTAGAGTTGTATTCACATTATACAGGTTAGCTGTTGCATAACATTCTCTAGACTCAGTTGGGAGGTACCTGGTTTGAATTATGGCCAGGATCAGGACTACAGTTATCCCATCTGATGGTCATGCTCAGTCCCTCTAAGTAAATGCCTGGATATAGCTTGGTTATGCCATAGCCACTTCCAGATCTTTTCCAGTTCACCAGTAATCCTACCAATCATTGCCGTATAGTCTAGATATTGATCATTATCATGAATGAATGAATAAATAAATAAGGGGTGGGCCTTGACTGGCCCTTGCACCATGACCATTGTTCATCTGTAGTGCATCCCATTCTGTTTCAGCCCTTGAACAATCATACACTTTAAACGAAGTCTTGGTAGTCACCATGTTCCATAACGTAATGGTCCAGGTGACAGAATCATAAGCAAGCAGTCGCCTCAGTCACATAGGATGTGTGTAGCTTACTCATCTTTTTCTAGGCACCTTTCACAAATGGTACTGTCTGTCATCCCCATTTTAAGAGGTGTCCTTTCAGGTGACAGTGTCCTCTGAGTAGTCCTGTCCCCCAACATAACTGGTTTCTGTTTAGTTCTAACACTTCCTTGCTTCTTCTGGTGGAAAGTCCGTGTGAGAAAATTATCATTATCATCATCAGTGGCAAAACAGCCCTTTTCAAACCAGATTTATCCATTCTTGGCTATGCCATGAACTAGACCATCCACCTTTCACTTCTTTGGATTTTACAACAGTAATTTTTTTACAGAGCAAGGTCATCACTCTTGCATCCAACCCCCAAACTGGAGGACTAGGTCTCTGTATTTATGTCCTCCAGTGGCAGGGTGGCCCAGTTATATCCCTGGGCTTTGGGTTCCTTTTCCATCACCTTCTACAACTCACAGAACTACAGTGGAGATATTCTAACCCCCTCCACACAAGAACTAGATATTGATGGTGTTGGTTAAGTAACTCACATAAGAAAGGAAGAAGGGCTGTGCTTCATGATAATCATTACTTTACTTTGTACTTTCAGGGATTTGGAGAAAATAATGCCAAATGTTGCTGAACAAGTTGTCAAGGAAGTAGCTGAAGGTTTGCAAACGTATGGATTCAGACCATTAGATGCTGCAACAGAAAAGCTCCTTAAAGGACAAATTATGGAGATTGTCAAGGATGATCATAAGATCAGACAGCTTGTTCGTAAGTTAGCTTCATTGCTTCAAGATTCCTCCAAGTTTATTTTCAAGTAGAATTGTTAACAGCTGTAATTTCATAAACCAGAAATTGAATCTGTAGTCAGATCATCACTAGGTGGAGGCAAGTGAGCCCTAAACATTTTATGTAGATGAGGGAGAATGAATTTCAATGACAGCAGCCTATAGGTTTAATTTGCATGGCACCTTCTTCAGGTAGAGTTTCCTCTTATGTGTAACATCACAGTAAAAAACTAAAGACTTCATTTTGTCAGTAATTTCTTAATCAACATCGAGCATGCACACAGCTGTCTTACATTGTCAAATAATCTAATATATTGAAGTTAATGCAGTTGGTCTGGTGAATGGCTACAGCTGGATGACCAAAGAGTATCTGCAGTAATGCGCTTTTATTTGGTTTCAGTAATACGATAATCTTTGGTAGGTTCTGAAGGGTTTTGACAGTGGTGTATAACACTCAGAATTACTGGTTTTCAGACTTTGTCCATTGTCTAACATTCTAAAAACTAGAAAACAGTGTTTTTGAAACTGGATCTGTTTCCTTCCTCAGAGACATCTACTCTATTGGGTCCCTTAGAAAGAGCTAACCTCAATCACTGGATAACCCATGTCAGGTTCACTACAGCTATTTAAATACCTGACATCAGGCTATGTTGAAGATAGATAACAGAAAAATATGCAATAAAAATTTTGATAAAGCATGCACATATGTGGAATCATGATTGAAAGGGAAGTAGAATTTATGATACAAACCAAGTCCATTAACACCAATGCACAGAATTAAATGGAGAATTTGTGAAAACATGTTAGTGCCTACCACTAGAGCCATATGTGGACTAAAACCTTATAGGAACCTGTGAAGAATTTGTCATGCCATACAGATTTTCTCTGTGAGTTGGTAACCTCATTGCTGATAAGGGGGATCCAGAGGGGAGAAATGTCCAGACTGGGTTGGCTGATCGGATTGGTTGAGCATGCCATATGGGCCTATTCCTTTTATTTCCTATACCTGCTGTGACTTTCAATTTCCAAAATTCTAGCTTCATCCTAGCCTACCTGACCCTCTTCATAGGCATGTTGGGCTAATTTTGATTTTTCTAGAAGACTGTCTTTGGGATGCTGACTGCGTTTATGGAGCCGCACAGCTAGAGGTCTGCCTTTTTTCACCATTGTACCTTCTGCCACATTCACGGGGAATGCTATAGACACACTGTGCCTTCGGTTATGGATCTCTTTCTGGCCTGATTTTCATGAATGAACCCCTAAGAGGACGTTTATTTCTGAAGATCATCTTAATGTTATATTTTAGCGTCCTGTTGCACTGATTTATGTCCATGATTTATTCCAGCCGTCTTACAGTGCATACACTCATCCACCTCACTCTTCACTCCTGCACTACATGTTTCGGCACAAAGGTGCCATCTTCAGGTGCTTTTCGATTTACGTTAAACTACTTCACTGCATGCCTTGCCGTCTTCATACTAAAATAACTAAAATATATGTTCATCATATATATTAATAAATANTATTTAATATTTATTAATATATATGATGAACATATATTTTAGTTATTTTAGTATGAAGACGGCAAGGCATGCAGTGAAGTAGTTTAACGTAAATCGAAAAGCACCTGAAGATGGCACCTTTGTGCCGAAACATGTAGTGCAGGAGTGAAGAGTGAGGTGGATGAGTGTATGCACTGTAAGACGCCTGGAATAAATCATGGTTATATCAATTCCCTATGCATTTGAACTTCTCAGAAACACCCTTCACATATGGAATATACACAGCCCGTAGGCATTCCTGCTTTATTCAGATGACTGCTGCTGTAGAATCAGTTTACACCAAACCAGTGCACAGGTCAAACACATCGAATGTATGGACACCCAGACAAAGACTCATATGTTATATTTTATGATCATATAATGACACATATTGAAATTTGCACACCCAACACATCACACATTAACGACCCATACATCATACTCATTCTTGCAGATGAGATTTGTCTCTGGGCTCTACAACTGGGCTTACTATTCTAACAACAAAGTGGCCTCCGTAGTCTAGGGGTAACGTTCCCACCTCATGACTCGAAGTACGCGGGTTCAAACCCGGTGGAGGTCATGGAATTTTTAAGGGCGGAAAAATTCAGGGAACAAGTCCTCCGGGAGGGACTTTAAGCCGTGGGTCC